CCAACACTGCAACTAAATATGAGGCAGTTGCCAAACATACAAATTTTGATCATGTGGCCATGGGGATGCTGCAATGATCATAAGTGTGAAGAACAGCCGTAAGTCACTTTTTTCAGTGCTGATGTAACTGCATTACATCATTAAGTGAACTGTTGTAAGTTGAGGACTACTTGTATTCAAGTTCAATGGATGACTCTCTATGGGAAAAGGATCAAAACTTCCCTCTATCCACATTTTCCATACTATGAATTACTTTATATGCTTTATACTTCCCCCCTACTATCCAATAGTCTGCAGTGATATTAGCAAGTTAGGAATAAATGCTAATTTTCCTACTACCAGTTCTGGCGTGCAAAGCTTCTGTGCATGCACAGAAGCATCCAGGCAGGTGGGCAGAGCCTCCCACTGCCACTACTACCGATTCACACAATCTGGGCCAAACCGGGAGCAACCCACCTCTGAAAGAGAATCTATCCAAGTCAAGTTTTCAAATTTGAGAATGGCAAGATAGCATGTATATTGTTTTAACAAAATGGGGTGGGGTGGGTTAGAGCTGCTACCGGAAGCATGCTGCATTTTGCAGTTTGTAGCTGGACTAACAATAGACTAGGAAGATTACATGTAGGTCTTCAAGGACAGGGCCTGATATTCATTTTACTTTGATATGCTACCTTTACAATTACAGCAGAGAGCAGTACCGTCTCGTTTACACGTCCCGCGGAGAGTTGGCTATTGCTGCCACTGCCCCCCCTCAGTAACTTTCAACCAGGAGGGAATGGCCTCCATGTCAATCAGCTGTGAGCCCAATCGTAACCTTATGCGACCATGTTTCTGTTGGCCAAAGGCCTGCCCTCCTCTGGGCATGGCCAGGTACTATAATATCCCAGCCCGGCTGACAGAAACCTCCGAGCCGCCTGCAGACTAAAGTCCAGAGTCCAGCGGCTTGATTTACATCAAATGTACATCACGCTGTGACATTAAAAATCACTGCGCGGCAGTTGGAAACTGCTGCACGGTGTTTTCTTGTCACGTGCGTGGCCACACAGCAGCGCAGCTTAGAGGGAACATTGGTTGTGGAGGGCAGCTGCCTAACTCCACAAATGATACCACTGCTTTAAGGAGTTGCGGACATCATATTACTGTACCCACACTGGCTGAATAACTTTTTGCCTTAAAAGCCAAAGGACGGTGCAGCCCTTCCAAAAATGGCAGATCACTGCTTGTTTATATTCCAGTTCTGTTTTGCTTTGTACATTCATAGGAGAATGTAGCATTCAAGAGTACAATTAGGTTGTGAAATGTCAACTGAATTTAAAAATAGCTTAATTTTTATACATGTAGAACTTTCATTCATTCACTAGCAAATGTGCCAGAAAAAATTCTTGAGCACTATGGTCATAGAAAATAAAATAAGCATTCAACTTCCAAATTCAAACTGACAGATTACATTTATGTATTATTAGTAATATTTTGCCTTTCAAAACATTTGAATTTTGGAAAAGCAAATTAACCTTTTCAAACATTCTCAATAGCTCTGGTCTTTAAATACAGATTATTTTCTCCATTTACTCTGAATTTGATTATGTATTTTATTGAACACTGAATATTTAATATTATATATACTTGCTATTAAGATATGTCTTATTAATGAATTCCATTGACAAGATAGAATGATTATCAAATAGCATAATTAACATGGCCTAAATAAAGAAGTACGGGAGTGTATGTTAGAGTGAGTAAACCTATGTTGTAAATACTAATCTCTTTCTGTTTTATAGTACATTCTCCATCTTATACTTCCTGTAATATCAAGAGAACACTATCATATTGACTTTGCATAATTTAAAGATTTCAAATTAACCAGATTTCAAGTATCATAATTTCAGAAATAAATAATACCTTGTCTCCAGGAATATTAATATGCATATTTATAATCAATTAAATCCAGGAGTAATTAGCACATTTTAATTAACATATATATTGTGATTGAATAAGATACAAATTATTTGGCATAGGAACAAAATTCAAGTAAAATTGCAAATTTAAATAGCCATTGATGAAGTAATTATTTATTTACAATTAATATGTAAATGTATAATCCATCTGTTAGGATGATTGTATGTTAGATTTTAATTGCTTTTATATGGATTAAGAAATGCAATTAAAATCTTAACAAACAATAACAATCCAGTCTTATACATGCTTTTGGGGAAATGGGCATGTAGGTGAAAAAAAT